AGGATGAATGACTTGAACGTGCTTGATGAGTTTCGCCTAAAAGCTTATGAAAGTTCAGCCTTATACAAAGAGAAGATGAAGAGGTATCATGATCAAAGAATTGAAAAGCGAGAATTTGTGGTTGGTGATCGTGTGCTGCTATTCAACTCTAGGTTGCGCCTATTTCCAGGCAAACTCAAGTCCAAGTGGACCGGGCCATTTTTGCTCACAAAAGTGCTCTCGCATGGAGCGGTTGAGCTTGAAAATAAGGATGGAACAAGGTTTGTGGTGAACGGGCAAAGGATAAGATCTATCTGGGAAATGCTGAAACTGTGCAAGAAGTGATTGAGGCCTGCAATCTTGATGAAGTCTGAGTAATCAAGATACTGCGTCGTGCCGCGACGTTAAATCAAGCGCTGCTTGGGAGGCAACCCAAGATGTACAATCTAGCCAACGATAGGGTTCTGTTTTCCATTACGTAGTTTAGCTTTCTTTGATTACTTGCGTCTTTGTATCAATGTAGGTAGGGGTTTCAGTATTTTAGTTCTTAGTGTTGGCTAGAAGTAATATAGGGTCCGTGTCTAAAAAGTGTCCAGAAAATGTAAAAAAATAGCCTATTGGTTGCTACATGTGCAGGTACACCACGCAAGAAATCTGCAGAAAATGGTCTGGTGCAGAGGTCTACGGACCCCATCGACGGTCCGTCGATTGATCCACGGACCGTCAATGGTATCCGTAGATCCCAGGTAAGTCCCTAAATTGTCCAGTATAATAGTGATCTACGTCCCGATCTACGGACCGTAGATCGACTCACGGACCGTAGACGGGGTCTCGTGGTCCAAACCCTAAAGTTATCTGACCCGACCCGGACCCCCATTACTTAAAAGCCCCCATGTTTCAAATCATTTCCCTTCCCTCCATTACTCCCAAAACCATTTCACCCACTCTTTAAACTCCCCAAATCACTCCATAACCACCACATAATATCCTCCCTTCCATAAATTCCCAAAATCCTTCCATACCAAACTCAACCCATCCCATAATCTACCAAAAAGGGTCCGGTGTTTGGTCAGTAACGAAAAGGTGACTCCTTGGTCTTGCTAAGCATAGTACCATCACGCAATCACCCCACTCCTTGTTGCTTGTAAGGTAATAGACTTTCTCTTCACTTTGAATTTGATTCATAGATTGAATATAGAGAGTCGGGAGTTGGGTCTTGACCTTGGGTAATTGTTAGATGAAATTGCATGATAAACTTGAATATTACAATGCCCTTGGAACGATAGATAGTGATTGTATAGCATTGGTGTAATTTATGTGATCGTAAATACTATATGCTAGTTTCGACTTAGGGTTCCACATCTAGTCTAAATTGTTGGGTATAATAATCGGTCGGAATCTTAAGAATGACGAACTAGCATATTTTAAGTTTGTAAATGCATGAGAGGTTGTGTTAGTGTTGAAAACAAAAGCCAAAAATGTATGATACCTGGCACTGATGGCTTCCACGATACCCCGTCTACGGACCGTAGATCCATCTACGGACCGTAGATGGGGTTCGTCATTGGATGCACCTGCAAATTTTCACCAAGTGTAAAACCACGGCGGTGGACTACGGTCCGTAGATCCATCTACGGACCGTTCTGCACTTCCGTGGTTTCCATCTGCGACCTATATGCAGGCCCCCTGATCCACGGAAGAGATCCACGGACCGTAGATCAGTCTACGGACCGTAGGTCTCCTCCGTGGATGACCACTGTAGCATCTGTCAAATTTTTTTGTGGACTTAGTTTAGGGTCGTTACCAATTCTAAAAAGTTTCTTTTGCTGCATATGGTTAGTTTTGGCACTAATATCGTTCCCGCAGGTACGATGGCACCCAAGAAGATGGTCACCTACTCAAAACGGGGCAAGTCCAAATCGGTTGCCCCTAGTTTCCGGTTGATTGATGAGGACACCGAGAACGACTCTGACCCAGCATATGTGCCTCTCAACCCTAGGGCTTCTCGCGCTGCACCCAGAAGCACCCCCCGGAAGGTGATCCCCGACGTAGTCACTGTCTCCCAGTCTGATGAGGAGCACACACTGATCGGGTCACCAACTGGGGCTGCTTCCAGTTCAGAGGGACCTATGTCCGGATCCGAGTCTACCCATGCCTCAGGCTCCCAGTCTGCCCACTCTTCACAATCAGAGTCTGTCCATGCTACAGGGTCCAACGCCAAATCATCCACAGGGTCTGGAGAGAATGACCAAGCAGCCTCGTCTGATGAGGCAACTAGTTCAGAGTCCATGCCTGCACCAAGGAATGATGAACCCGCTCCTGTAGCAGGGGAGCTGAATAGGTGGTGTGTAGAGGGTCAATGGCAAATCTATCGGGATGCAAAGATGGTCAATGACAAACAAAAGATGGCCCGATTAATTCAAGAGGAGCGCAGAGTCCTCACGGGGAGCTTGCATACTGTTCCAGATATTCACCGGCTGTTCAAACTTCACAAGTGTGACTGGATGGCTCGAGACCCAGGGACGTATAGCGAGGAGATTGTCCGGGAGTTCTATGCTTCCTATGCTGCCACTCTCCGCGGGTCCATTTCCAAGCGGTCAAAGCCACTAGCTCAGGCTCCGCTCACTTCCACCTTGGTTCGAGGGTGTCCGGTGGACATATCACCCGCCACCATTAGCCGTTTTCTCTATGGTCCTACCACGGGCCACTCTTGGTCTCCTAACACTTCAGAGTTTGATTACGCTGGGACATCGTGCGGAGTGGCGCTTTCCAGAGGAATGCTGAGCAGCGAGAGGCTGTGATACTATGGCTGGCCAGGTACATTGCTGCGGATGGCGAGCGAGCGGAATGGGTCGCTGCTCCACGGTTGGGCATCCGGAAGGCCACGTTAAATTTTGTGGCCAAGTTCTTCTGGCTGCTGGTGCGTAACAGAGTATCTCCTACAAAAGCTGACAATCAAGTCACTTGGGACAGAGCGGTGATGGTTGCAGCATTGGTAGCAGGAGTAGAGATCGACTTTGCCCGCATGCTGCTGGCAGAGATTCACGAGAGAGCTTTCAGGACCTCCACTACTTACCCCTTCCCATGTCTGATCTTTCACTTGTGCAGGGACTCTGGAGTGCCGATCTGGCATTGTGACAGGCTAGTCCACCCTACAGGGGCATTGGACATCGGCCTTATTCGGGATGACGCAAATGTGGCAGCACCTCGCAGAGAGCCTCAGGTTGAGGTACCTCTTTGGGTGCCGATCTTGCAGACACAGTGGGGCAGGCACAGGGTGATGACCTAAGCATCCCCGATCACACCGACACTGTTCAGGGCACCTCATCTCAGGCAGCTAGTATGGCTCCTAGCTCTTCCCGGTCCACACCGCAGTTAGGAGCTACTGTGGTCCCTTTGGCCAGAGTCCAGAAATTAGAAGCTCAGATGGCCACCCTGCTGCATCAATCCAGCCGTGGATGCAAAAGTCCATCGCCGAATCAGAGGCCAGAATGGAGCGCAGGATGGAGGGGATGATGGACCGTAAGGTCCTGGCTGTTAATAAGCGACTTGACGCCTTTGAGTTGCGAGTCCTCGAGCGATCAACATGTCCACAGACTTATCTGCTTTGCAGGCTGACATAGCCATGCTCCGGACCGACGTTGATCCCATTCTTGCTGCACCTTCAGTTGAGACTCAGGCTGCCCCTACTGCGCTGGCTGATGATACAGTGCTAGATGCTCTATTCAGTGGCATCGCCGAGGAGGGGTCTGTACCGACACATGCCAAGGGCAAGAGGCACCGCTCTCGTTGCAGGACATCGAGCTCTGCCCCAATTGCAGAGGTTCAGCTTATTTTGAGGGGCGTTGCGAGCACCACTGATGGTGCGGAGAGTTTGATAGAGAACACTACTGAGTGTGCTAGGATTGCTGAGGTGGGCACTACTGAGGGTGCCCCCACTGATGTCCAGAGGGCTCCGGGAAACCGGACCCCCCGGCTTGTTGATGATTTGCCGGCGCTTTGCCCCCAAGGTTTGCTTCACCCCAAATCCATTTTCTTTTACTGTTTATAAATGCATTGTGGACAATTGCATCTACTTTTTGTTGGGGGTGGGGTAAAATGGATTATGAGTGATAGGTGAAGTCTGAGTAACCCACCTCATGAACCTCTTTGGGGTTTTTCTTGCCTGTGTTCTTTTCCCCCAGAGACTGTTTATTTTTGTTAACCGGCATTGTCTTAGGATTTATGTGTAGAAGATTATATAGAAGAAGCATGATTGGCTTATAAAAAAAAATGATACCGTCAGATTCTGGGTTGTATGCTAGAAGTAGGCTACGATTAGTTGATTGTGTTGGCTCTGAGTATGACATAGTAACAATCGACCTTATGACATGACTAGAACTGAAACTTGAAATGGGTAATCTAAATAATCTGATAATGAAATCTGATGTCCAAGAGTGGGTGAGAATCATTGACTGTTCAAACGGTTTTTGTGCAAAACTAGAACTTGCCCGGTTAGTCCTGCTAAGACATTCAATCTAGAGGATAGAAAGTGATCTATAGGCCGTTTGTTCTGAAAATTCACAAATTGCCTAGAAGGATTCAACCAAATGAAATAAACATCCCTTTGATCCAACTTTGAGCCTGAAAATAAACCATTTCTTTCTAAAACCCGAACTCCTTTCCCAAATCTTATGTTGGCCCCGGTCCCTCATTGGACATGTGCATTTGATTAGGCAAAAGCCTAAGTTGAGGGTGGCTAATGTAAAAAAGTAACTTCAATCTGCCTGACCCGACATCGGGTATTGTGCACTCAACTAACGGAAATCCATAAGTGAGGGTGGCGTATGAAGAGGAAACTGAAAGAAAAATGGGTATGAAAAGAGTGGAAAAATAAAAAAAATAAAAAATAAAGAAAAAAAGAAAGGGGAAAACGTG